GACGAAGGGAGCCACGTGAGTGGATTCGGTTTCTGCTCCGGTACCGGGCAACGCACACGGAATTTTAACAGCTTGTCCGGGACATGCGCCTCGACGACGGAAGCGACTTCTTCCGATATTTCCGCATGACGCGGCAAAGGTGTGTACTTAACTCTCCTTAAACATAAACAGTCACAAAAAAGATGCGTTTGGATGTTCGATCGTCTTGGTGGCTCCGATTTCTTTCGTATTAACAAACGTTTTCAACGAGGCCTTTGAGCTTAACGTCCTCCCGCCGTCCTATTTCTCGTCGCACACCGTTCTGATACCCAAGACAGCGGACATAATCAAGCTTGGACAGGTCACGTCTTATCGCCCCATAAGCTTAACTAATGTGGACTATAAAATATTCATGAAAATATTGGCCAGGAGATTACAGTCTGTAATAGCAGAGCTTGTAGGACCCCACCAAACGTGTGGCATAAAAGGTAGGACAATTTTCACTAATATTCATAAAGCGCGGAGTGTCCTGGAGTGTTGCGACGTCATGCATGTTGGTGTAGCAATGATGCAGATAGACCTAGTGAAAGCCTTCGATCGGGTGCCACATGACGTCCTCTTATCAGATAATGTCGGCTCCGTTTTACGCGAAGGAGCGCGAATGGCGTATAGTGGTTGTACGACAAGGCTAATAGTTAACAAAGCGTTAGGAAATGCCATCAAAGCGCTCCGTTCTGTCCGCCAAGGATGCCCCCCCTCACCCCCTCTTTTTTGCATCTATATCGAGTCTTTTTGCCTGAGCATTATTAGAAACAACAGTATTAATGGGTTTAAGCTTTTTTCTTCTGAGGTGCGTATCCTAGCCTACGCGGACGATATTGCTACTTATTGCACAAATCAAGAAAGCGTTGTTGAAGTGGTGAAGACTGAGAAACATTTTTGTGCCATTAGTGCAAGTGCCGTCAATGGGGACAAATGTCTGGGTTTTCGGCATGGGAACTGGTGTTCGACTCCAAGCGTATTTTTAAACATAAGGTGGCAAACCACTCCAGTAAATTATTAGGGAGTACCCCTCGAGAACTACAGTGATAGCGAGCCCTACTGGCGCGGACAGGCGGCAGAGCTCAGGGAGAAAACAGAGAAATGGAGAGGTTAGGAATCCTCAATGTTTGCTCGGGCGACGGTTTGCAACCTGTCTCTCGTTAGTAAGCTACGGTATGTGCTCCAAGTCGTGCACTGTTCACGGGTGAATATGCAGAAACTGCACCGGGTTTTTGCTGTGTTTATTTGGGGCTCGGTGTGGGAACGGACGAGTCGTCTGAACCTTTTTCGGAGCGTCCTCGCTCTGAAAAGGTTCAGACGGCGAACTAGGATTGACACATTTGTTTTTGCGTCAAATTGTGAACCGTTTTATCTTTCTGCGGGATGTAGGTGACCCTTTTTTGCGCACAGTATGCCAAGTGAGGCTGAGTAGCGCTCTGCCCGAGTTGGTGGTTTCTTCGGCATGGGTGCCAGGGCGCATTCACGGTTATATGATGGAGGTCGTCGTTTCATGTCAATTCCTGACAGCTCGTTTTTCGTTCGAATATTTAAGCGAAGTGTCCCGCAAAAAGTTGCATAAGGATCTCTGTGATGTTGTTTTTTTCGTACTTTTGTATCGAGCACAGTACTGTGCAGGCCCAGGCAAAGACGTTTTAAAACGAGTTAAGAGAATGCTGGTCCTGAAAGCACAAACGTTTTCACATTGCCCCTTTAAAATACACTGGAAATTTTCACAATGCGATGCCATCTTGACATTTTTCCATGGGGAGACTTCTAGCGTGGGGGATCAGTGGCCGAATGTGTTAATGCACCATGACTCCGAGCAGGTAGAGGAAAAGGTTCATGCTCAGGGATCCAGGGAGCCTGGCCTAAATCTCCACTCCTACCCGTTTCAATTTGATTGAGCATCGTATTGGTGTTTGCTCGTGTCACCACTGTACGTTGTACGTTACAGCTAGCACCCATACTATACTGGCTTGTTGACTAGCATTATAAAAAAGTTCCATATTTTCAGAGTTCTTCTTTTTCAAATTGGGGGTGTATTTTTGGAGGTTATATTTCCACGGTTTGGTTGTTTTCCAACGACAATGTTGAATAAATATGCACGCAACCCGAGTACTTGAAAACTTCCAAGGACCAAAATAGCAGGAAATGGAACAAGGTCTGCGGTTCCTGCGAAAGAAGCAGTCAGTTTTCTAATAGCCCTGTTCCGGATCAGCAAAAAATAAAGCTGTACATAATAAGCTTGTTCCCGTGAAGCTTGGGCTTTTGTAATTCAAGGACAGCTCGAACGTTCCCGTGAAGCTTTGGCCTTTGTAATTCAAGGACAGCCCGAATATTCCCGTGAAGCATGCGCTTTTGTAATTCAAGGACAGCTCGAAATCAGTTTTTCAGTTTTTTTCCCAATTTTGACAAAACTGACTCGGTTTTATTTTTCAAGGTTTTATTGGTATTTACTGAAAACATGGAACACTGATTGTAACTTACTGTCATCGTATTTCAAAGGTAGAACATCCTTTAACTGTCTATATACAAACATCTCATTTACATTATTTTAAGCCCCACTCATCTTTTATATCACTCTTTTTGTTCTCTGTTGCTCCAAGCATTGACTGTTTCTGTTGGTTGTCTGTTAGCACATGTATCATTGTGACCCCCAACTTTAACATTTTAGGTGCCTGGCTCATGGGTCTTCTCAGCAGCTGGCATCCATCTGCTACAGGATCAGGCAATCCACCGTATGCAGTATCCCACGGGAGACGTGCTGGGCACTGCACCATGCAGTAGACCCTTTGTACCGCCCGGTGAGTATGTCAGTGTCGCTGTTATGTCCGGACCTAACGTCGCACAGCGTCGGATAATTCAGTTCAGTTTCCAGCCGAGGCGGGCTGCTCGTCCATGTAGAACATAACAGCGCTTTGCTGATGAGTGTGCAGGCTGCTCCGAAGTCAACCTTGAAGTTCAAGCATCTGTTGTCAACTGATACCTCCAATGTGAACTACAGCACATTGGTAGTATTTGTCACGGTGTTCAGCTCGTACAGTGTTGACTTAGCCAGTGAGGGACGGTGCATGACAATTGTGGCACACCTGTCTGCAGCTGACGCTGTTATGGATAAATGTGATTCGTGTGCGGATGTTTCGTATCCTTCCGCTTCTTGATGCGTGTCTTGGCAATGTGTCCGCATTTCTTGCAATAATTGCAACATGCTGTCCGTAATTTGTAAGTGTCTGGAGTGTGCTGAGCATTGCATCGCCAGCAGTGCGGAGCGTTCCAATATAGTTCTGCATTTTGTAGCCACTTGTACTTCGTTGTGTACTTCCTTGAATTCGGCTTACATCTTTTTCTAGCCCTCCCACGGCATTCTCTGCTCGCAGGGCAAAGTTGTAGCCAAGTGCGAGCTGCCATTACTGCTTTATTTCTGTTTCCCAGAAATGCTGACCACTGGGACTGTTGATGACAAGGAGCAAACCCACAAAAAGCCTCCATTAGTGACAGAAGCACAATGGTGTTTATGCTCCATCATACAAGTTATGTGCTGCACTACACTTCCTCCACCCCTAAGTTGGCAGTATGGTGGGAGCTACATGCTTGCCAGAAAAATCAACCGCCACCCTTTCGTCTCCTGACCGCTATCTCTGCTCGTGGGCACAGAAGAGAGCGTGATCATACGACGAAAGATAGACACACAACACGTCTACTGAGCTAGTAGCTTCTAGTGCCTTGTCACTTTAGGAGTTAAAGAAGTAAATCAAAAACACAGGCTAGGTCTCGCAAATTAACCATTTATCCAGAAACATGAATTCCCTGTGCTGCAAAAGCCCTATTTTAAGCCAACATCTCATGGCTGCGATCATAATGCTTCACAAAAACTCTTGAAGATACAATAAACGCAGACAGCAACCTAGTGTGCAAACCACAGTGGTAAAGTGAAGTGAATAAAATAAAGAAGGTAAAGTGAAAGACAGTTATGGCTGCATCTCTTTAGCAGAAATTAATGCTCTGGCTTGAGACATTTATGAATACTTTGGATTTAAAATTCACTGTGTGAAGCGTAGACTCTCTGTAAACTCTCAACTGCAAATAATTGCGACCAATGCAACATTACGGCTGTTTACCAAATCTAACTCGAATGGATCCGTGTTACTGCAGCAGATCATGTCACGGGACAAGAAAGATAAAGAAACGCTGGAAGCGTTTAGGTTTTCCAACACCAGGTACAGAACCTTTACCCTTGAGTGAGGTTGAGTCAATTTGGGAACACGGACTATGAGTGCTGTGCTAGGATCACTTGAAAAACATCTTAGTATTCGTGGCACTTATGCCTTCTTACGAAAAGGAAGTGTAAATGATGTAACATCTGACACTTCTGGATTTGAGGTGTTTGGTATGTATTGGCGGTGTTTGTGTGATTCTGGCTAAGACTTGGTCAACTGGTGTTCTAGGCCCCCAACACTGCCTAGTGGGAGCGGATCGCAGCAGACTTTGGCAGGCTGTGGAACTTCCCGAACTGTGTCGGAGCCCTGGATGGCAAGAACGTGGCCATCCAGGCCCTATCCGGTGCGGGCTCCGACACCTTCAACTACAAGGGGTTCCACAGCACTGTCCTCATGGCCAGCTGCGATGCCACTTACAAGTTCAATCTTATAGATGTTGGGCAGCCAGGGCGGTTTAGTGACGGGGGAGTGTTCATAGAGTCCAAAATGGGGCGGACTATGCTGTCGGGGGAAATTGGTCTCCCGTCAGCTGGGCTCCTACCACAAACAAAAACCAGGCTGCCTTTCGTATTCGTGGGCGATGAGGCGTTCCCCCTGCTCCCTAACCTCATGCGCCCTTTTCCCAGGAGAGAACTGCAGTTACTCTCTCGAATGTTTAACTACAGACTCTCCAGGGCAAGGAGGATCATTGAGAATGCCTTTGGCATCTTGGTGGCGAGGTGGCGCATTTTCAGACAACCAATCCAGGCTTCTGAGGAAACCCTAGAGGCCGCCGTTGTCTGGGCATGCGTTTACTTGCACAACTACTTGAGGGTGTGTGATGAGAGTGAGCAGGGACATCGCCGCTACTGCCCTCAAAACTACGCTGACCACGAGACCCTTTTGGGTGGCGTGTTGAGCGGTGGCTGGAGAGCTGATGTAGATGATGGCACTGCCCTTTCAGATTTAGGTTGCATCAGCTCGATTGCGCCTGGCGACAGGGCTAAAGCGGTGAGGGACGCCTTCAGCAGGTACTTCTGCTCTCTCGCTGGTGAAGTACCTTGGCAGTACAGTGTAGTGCTCGGGGCCTCAGCACCCAACGCTTAAAAGGACAATGCAACAAATTTAAGTTCGAAAGAATTTGCAGTTTTTAACCGCCTTATTCTTGTGAAATATTGCGATTCCATTGTGTATTAGCAAAGAAAAAAACAAGGAACATTTTGCTATTTACAGCTGCAAGTGGCGGCCATGGGAGCTATGGCATGACACCAACCTCGGTGCATTGTAATAAGTTGGCAAGGTGTGCTACTATGTGCTCAATATCTAATGCTATCTTTCATAAATATTGTTGTTTCAACATGAGTAAATGTCTAAAAAGCCTATATTATTAAAAAAAAACGGCGCTATATTCAGTTCTATGTCACTTTTTTAATTTTTCTTTTTTAAACAAACTTACGTGCAGAAGCAAAATTGGTTTTCAGCTCCTTTGCTCCAGACAGGAAAGGGAACAACTACCACAATTATTTGACCGAAATCCGAAAATTGTGACACGGCCTCTTTCACTCTTTCGGTAACATTCCCCCGTCTTTTAAACAGTGTAAATTGAATACATATATGGTCCTTGCACTGGATGCTATTATAGTTGGAAACCCTAGCGGCGTATTAAAGGGCCACTCCGCTTCATATTTGTTTTTGAAAAACCAATGCAGTCCTCTTCAGTATCACATAGGGAGACCACACGTCAAATATTACGACCTGGTTCTCTCTGCAGGTTTCATAAAGGGTCCGGCAAACTTTGCAACTCGCAAAGTTGCCGAAATTGGCTGACTTGAGCGGGCGAATTGAGGCGGCAACCAACAGCGCAGTCAAGGCTACGGCGTGGGCGTAGCCAACACTGAGCTAAACGTCATCATCATTGCCCCCTGTTTTCACTACTCCGGGGAAGCGTAATGTGTAACGTCAGCAACATTTCCTCTCGGCGCTAAGCGGTGTCCGCGTGATTGGCGCAACACGCCTGCGCAACGCGCTTCTTGGGAGCCGTCCGGCCGCCCGCCGTAACCGCCGTCTCCCACGTCACAACGGCCGTCGTCGTCTCCCCGTTTGTGATTATTGTCTCTTGCAATTTAGTCCACACTAGAGCCACTACGTGCACAGACTTATGCCGTAGTTGGGCAGACGTCGTCGAATGCTGTAGACACCAAAACTTGGTGAAGGTTGTGGTGCAGACGGCACTTGCACCTGGCACTTGCCCGCCCCAATTCCAATCCCGCCCGTTGTCGTGTAGAGGATCACGTGACATCTTGTTCCATGTGATAGCCGTGTTCTTGGCAGCCCGAGGCCAATGTTGTCAGACGGAGCCGAAGTTTCGGTTTCAATTTTTGCTCGTGTTTAAAATGAGACTTAAAAATATATATATCACACTTTTCGCGAAGAAAATGTTGTAGTGTTTTTACTAGGGCTTGTTTATGCGAAATCACTCATCATTTCGAAGTATTTAGAATTGAGCGGAGTCGCCCTTAAAAAAAAAAAAACGATGAAGTCTAATGTTAATAAGCCGTCTGCGGTATTGCTGGTCGCACATTGTACCATTTTTCCTATTCGTTTTTAATGTAAGCGATTCGTTGCTAACGTCATCCTAGATCTCAGACTAACTTTATTTTTTCGGAACCGCCTTACTGGGCTTGGCGGTGGTTGCAGAAGCCATTTCAGTGAGCAAAACCAAATTCTTGAGGCTTGTCCCAACTTTGAGTGAAGACCGGTATGTATAAAAATTGAGCACCCGCGACTTTTGCGACTAGCACAGTTAATTATGACGCAAAGAACTGGTGTTCTAGAACGCTAATTTTTTGCGTCACAATTAACTGTTACTTCTGCATCATCACAGGCGTTGTTTACCACTACAAACTGCAACTATATGTGGGTGGCAGGCCGCTGTGCAAGGGTGCGTGCTTTCTCCTCTATCTGCAGTCAGTTGCATCCGACAACGCTTGATGGACTGTCTTGGCAACTGCTTTTTGATCAAGAGGCTTGGTCAGAGGACTGATATTTTTCTATGTTGTGTGGCGTTACTTTTTTCCACGTGTGCAAATAAAGATGTAAGAAAACGAATAACTGACTTGTTCAAAGTGTTTTTATTTGAGGAATATCCCAGGTTTCCCAATTAGCGATGTATGTGTCCTCTCGTGTTAACACAGACCCCCTTTATTGTGACAACAGTTTGGGAGACAAACGGGGTTGATAGATGCATTTTTGTACCATCATTATGAATAACTTACATTATGGACACTTTGTTTTGGGAATGGGGGTGTGCATTAACGAGACATCACTGTATATCGCACGACTCTGAGTAAACAAACGTCACAAGTAGTAGCACTAATTAATTATTTTGACGCCTCCAACTTGGGACTTCAGAGCTTTGACCTGGAATGTAATCGAAAGTAGCTGGGGAAAAAATGTCACCTTGCTTGCAATAGACCAGGGGTGGCCAGGCTGACCCGGCGTAAGAGCCGCAAAGGAAACCATGAAACTTCTAAGAGCCGCCGAAAGGGGGGCGGGGGAGGGCAAAACAAACACCGCTGCCTGGTTACCCCCCCCCCCCCCCCCCTCCTTCCCCGAAAGCATAAGAAAGCAGCTAGCGGGTCACAACTGCAAGTCGGTAAAAATAACAATGAGGATGTTCCTGGTGCTTTGTGAACTTGAACATAACGTTTCTGACTAGTGGAAGCTTCGAATGAGGTCAACCCCGGCTTCCGCGACCTTCAACAAGAAACGATATGGAGGGAACATCCGTTAACTAAAGGGGACATGTATCACCGGCGAGTGACAAAGGCCGCGAGACAGAATATTTTCTCGACCCAAAGCCGAAGTGCATGCATGTTTTGACAGTTCCTTTCCTTGATGCCTTTCCCCCTAGGGTCCGGCAAACTCTCCCGAACAATGAAAGAAACAGGATCTGTGGAAACATACAAGTGAAAAGCGGTTCGAGTGTACGTATGGGGGCACAAGGCTGCCAAACCGCACGTTGTTCTTTGTTCTGAAATCCTTTCCATTTTCCTGGGGAAACGCGGAGAGGGGCGAGGGGTGGGGGGGGGGGGGGGGCTTCCTTACGATGGATTCGCGAGCCGCACGGTGACCACCAAAGAGTCACATGCGGCTCGCGAGCCGCGGTTTGGCCACCCCTGCAATAGACGTTGCAGTTCAACACACGTTTTCAGGACACAAATGTGCTGCCGAGTGAACCATTTATCACCTTATAAGTTATGAGGAATGTAAAAAAAAAACTCAAAATACAACTGGGGCATCTGACATCACGTGACATTTGTTTGGTTGTGGAAAACATTACAGAATGCTCTTGTGTTCTGTAAAGTTTTGGATTTGATTCTCGTGGCACAAAATTTGCAGCATGATACTTGCTGTAGGAAAATGCATGTATCTCGTACAACCACAATGCAGATTGCTATATGGTAATTTTTTAATCGGTGTGTTGCAACCTCGGTTGTCTGTTTGCGCCAATCAATGTCAAGGAGGCAATGTTCGCCATCACAACACTTTATTGAACATCATAATGATTTCGTAAGCGACCCATATTCATTATGCATGTTATACACCAACCAAATATAAAATCTAGGTGAAACAGCAAACCCACGAAACCCAGTTAAAAGAGAGGGCGGGAGCCAGATGCAAAGCGAGACTTTGCGACGATTCGAAGATGTGCTCGCACGGTGTGGCAGCCTAGAAACACAAAAATTGTTCAAAACTCTCAGTCTTCGTACTTTACGTTTGCCCTTAAATTTGTTATGTAGTTTATATACGCACTTACTTTTGCTATGTGCAGCCAAGATGAAGGAATATCCAGCTCGTTATGGATGGGAATTTAAAACTTTAAGTGAGACACGTGCCAAAATGACGCGCAAGAGTTGAGAACATCGCCACCAGACGTGTCATGTCCGAAAGGATCAAGTGTCGTGCCAGTCGAGCTCACACACACTATACAAGACGTTTCCAGTGCCAAGAAGGACCAAAACTTTTCGGGCATGCGACATACCGACATGGGACTCCGTCAACACCGATACCTCAGTCGGAAACTAAACCAAACAAAATGGCTACCACCCTAGTATCCCTGCGACAGCTGCCTTTACGGGGGATGTTAAAATAATTTTGGAGATAGGTTGGCGGACGTCGAAATAGTCAATACCAGATTTCTTCTTTTTTTTGTGCCACTGGCCTTTATTTTGGCTATATGAAGTAAGCAATGCGTAGGGCATTTCCTTTTTATACCAATAATTTGCAGTTCCAATACATGCCACAGTGGCCCTGAATAATATCTGATGTCATCACGCTCTGCGAAATTTTCTTCTTTCTTCTTTTTGACTCAAGGAGGTTTATGTCCAGATCTCTGAAATGCTGAAACCACCGTTTTAAGGCATGCCCTTGTAATAAATCATAGCGCAATATGCCCATTTATCTGGTCACTTCGATGTGCCCATTTAACAATTTGAACTCCCAGTAGGTATTGTGCAAAATTACAGTAGCTCTAAGTACTTGTCAGGCAGTGGCAAACAAAAGCAGGGTTATAATATGTGATGTGTATTGGTACTCTTAATGACTGGTAGGAAGTTTGAACACTCTTAATCATTTTCTCTAAACTGAACTCAGCATCAGCGTTGTACTTATTTTTTAATGGCTTCATCTTGGCTTGCTCAAACATTAGATAGGAGAGGGGCACCATATATTGGGTCTCAAACACGCGGCCGGCGCAGTCAAGCATAAGTGTAAAAAAAATTACATTAAAGGTATAACCAGCACTCTTTTCTATGGATTATGGTTGTGGAAAACGGTGACGTGGTGACGGTATCTTTAATGAGCCCAATACTTGTCAAAACCAGGAACTGGACGTAAAAAGCTTTAAAATGGCGATGATTAGTAATTGCTATACAGTTATACAACTATACATACAC